GCAGAGGGGGGTGGTCCGCGAGGGGCCCCGTAGTCCCTCCTGAGCGTCAGCCCCAGCACGTGGACGGCCAGCAGCGGCTTGCATGCTCCCAGCGACGGGGAGGTCACTACTTATCACGGGGCAACTCCTCCCTGTGATTCCTGTGTGTCCCAGGTTTTCCCGCTGAGCCCCTCGACTCTGCTCGGTGGCCGAGGCATGGTATCACAGTCTCAGGTTGGAATCCTAGTTCCGCCAGTCCCCCTCCTGTGTAGCGGTGGCCAAGTCACTGTACTTCTCGAAGCATTCAGGGAACAGGAGCTGCTACTTTAGGTCAAGCCACCCACAGCCCTTCCACCCTACCCCACTTCTCATGCCGGTCTGTCCAAGAGCCAGGTAGGATCTGAAAAGTGTACACCAAGGCCGCTGCCTGCCACCCCCAACCCACAGGCCATCGGGATCCGTTTCTTCATTTTATAGCGATGCAGCTGAGACCCAGAGAGGCAAAGGGGGTTGCTAAGGGTCACCCATCCGGGATGGAGTTAGGACTGACCCCAGAACCCTTAATACCTTGGGCAACAATTCTTCCGTGAAGCTGCCCACAGTTACATACAAGCTACGAGAAAGGACCTGTAGGAGGACAAGGAGAGCCCTCTCTAAATAGCCAGGAGGCTGCTGGCTCTTGGGAAAGGGAGCAGCTCCTGCTTTGGAGCAAGACAGTCCTGGGTTCAAATCCCTGCGAGGCTGCTTCCTGGCTGTGTGGCCTTGGATAACAAGACACCCACTGAGCCGCCCCGGCCAGGCTGTAATGTCTTTCTTTAACGGGGGTAGGTCTTGCTCTCATTATCTACAACGTATTTACTTACATGTTCAATGCTAGTATTCTAAGTGTTGACACCAAATATGTGATTTTTTTCCCCCGATACCAAACAATTCTGGAATTCTGGCAGTAACTACCCATAGTTAGCACAGCCTCCAAATGTTAAGGGCTTATTTCCACGACACTTCCTCCGTTTCACATGCCAATTGTAAGTCTAGGCTTCCCACAGTTCTGACTGACCTACTATTAATCGAGGGTTCCCAAGACTTCCTCCTCGGGTTCAGTAATTAGCTAGAAAAGCTCACAAAACTTAGGAACAAGTTTACTTATGTTTGTTGGTTTATTATATTGATATAAAGGATATAAATGACCAGCCAGATGAAGTGGAACATATGGTGAGGTCTGGAAGGGCCCCAAGTACAGGGGCTTCTGTCCCCATGGAATTGGGGTACACCACCTTCCTGGCACACTAACCTGGAAGCTCTCTGAACCCCATAGATTAGGGATTATTATGGAGGCCTCATCACCTAGGCATGACCAAATAAATATTAGCTTAGTCTCCAGCCTCTCTCCCCTCCCAGAGGCTGAAAGTTCCAAGTTTCTCATCACAGCTCGGTCTTCCTGGTGACCAGCCCCATCCTGGAGCTATCCAAGAGCTCACCAAGAGTTGGCTCGTTAGAACAAACGAGGCTTCCATCACCCAGAAAATGTCAAGGGATTTAGGAGCTCTGTGTAAGGTGAGCTGATCACCTCCACCAACTAAAGGAATTACAAGCGTCTTTGTCAGGAACTGGGTACTCACAGTAGGTGCACATTCTTTCCCCCTTATACCTACAGTGCATAGTCCTCAGACAGAAGAGGTCACTGGGGAGTTTCCATCAGCCAGAGGGATCCATGGCCCCATCACAAGAACGCCAAGGGGCAGTGAGGGCTAGCTGTCCAGGCACTGATTGAGCACTTTGTACAGATCATCTCACCGTGGGTAGGAGCTGCCTTCTCCCGTGCTTGTATGGATGTGGAGACTGTGTCTGAGCTGTCTGGTGTCTCCAGAGTGCACGTGCTTGCTGAGTCAGGTGGGCCTCAGGCTGGCAGTTCTGGAATGCAGGGAAGCCGGATGCCACGCTCAGCTGCTGAGCTGGCTCCCCCGGGGCTGCCAGCTGTGCCCACAGGACAGTGGGGGGTTGCCTCATGACTCAACAACCCCCCCTCACATGCTCTCTCTCTCTCTCTCTCTCTCTCTCTCTCTCTCACACACACACACACACACACACACACACACACACACACACACGGCAGTGGGGTCACCTTGGGATGAAGTTGAGCTGGGGCCTCCCTCACACATCTGGCAGCTCTGTCGTGGTCCTGAAGTTCTGCCTGTGGCATAAGATAGGAAATGCCCCGAGTCTGTGCCTCCACCCTGTGCCAAGTTCACATACAACCAGCTGCTGCAGGAGGTAAATTCTGCATTTGCTCAGAGTGGGGGATTACCTCAACTTGGAACTGGAAGGCCAGCAAAAGGTAGTGGCTATTTTTTTTTCACCTCCTATGTGTCAGTCATTCACATATGGTAGGAATATTATTTAGTCCAGTGGTTCTTAAACTTGAGTAGGCATCAGAATCGCCTTGGGGGCTTGTTAAATTACAAATTGTGGGTCCCGCCTCCAGAGTTTGTGATTCAGTAGGACTGCGACGAGACCTGAGAATCTGCTTTTCTAAAAGGTGCTGTTGATGGTGCTGGTCCAGGGACCATATTTAGTCCAACTAATTAGTTCAACTTCCTTTTCCCTGCTTAGTGATGGTCTTCAAGTTTCTTCTTACATCCCTCCAGGACAGAGGTCTAATTGCCTGTTCTGTCAACCTATTTCTAAATAGTTCTTTCTGTGACGATATGAATTGTGTGTGTGAGATAAAAAACTAACTCTATTGGCTCTTCCTGTGGCCCCTTCTTTCTGCCTCTAGACTATGCTGTCATCACAACGGAGCAGTGGGAGGGGAGTGGGATCTTGCAATTAGAACAGGGCCTCCCTCACCCCCACAGTCCACTGACCACCAAGCCCTGTCCATTCTACCCTCTAACTCAATGCTGTCCAACAGAAATACACTGTGAGCTCTATGTGCCTATGAAAAAAATTTAATTTTCCAGTAGCTACTTTAAAAATAGCAAAAAGAAGCAGGTGAAACTAACTTTCATAATATATTTTATTTAACCCAATATATCCAAAATAAGCTACTGTATATATTTTACTTTCATAACACGTCTTGGAAATCCAGTGTGTGTTTTACACACACAGCACCTCTCAATTCCGACCAGTCGCGTTTCAAAGGCTCCATAACCAGCCACATGTGGCTGGCGGTTTCAACAATGCAGGACCCTGACCCTGTCCTTATCTCTGCTGCCCTGGCTCATGTTCACCGGATGCCTACCTCCCACAGCTTCCCCACCAATCCAAAATAAGGTAGGCAAATTGTTGTCTAAAACATGAATTTGATCGTGTCTGTTTTGCGTGGCTCCCCAACACTCTCAACATAACATCCAGCTTCCTTGGCCTGACTTTGGAACCCTGCCTCTCTCACTCTCTCTTCTCCCCCCCTCCCCCAGCTCCCCACGCCCCTGCTCTCCCACTGTACTGAATCATTCGCAGATCCTCAGCACAACCGTGTCTCTTACCTCTAAGCATGTATGGTTGCACACATGGTTCCCTCTGCCTAGGATGCCTTTGGAATGCTTCTTGGGCTACCCTTTCAGGTCACTTATTTGTTCAACAAAATGTATTGAGCACCTGCTATGTGTCAGACACTGTCCTAGATCCTAGGACAAACAAATACACAGCCAGGAAATATGCGCAACAAGAAAATATACAGTATGTCAGATGGTGAACAATAAGGCAGGATGAGAGGGAAAGGTGGTGCTGGCAGTTACTACGTCACTCAGGGTGGCCAGGGAAGAAGGTGACATTTGTGTAGAGGCCTGAAAAGTGAGGAAAGCAGCCCGGTAGCTGTCTGGGGAAAACATTCGAGGTAGAGCGAATGCCCGGTGCAAAGGCCCAGAGGAGGGAGTCTGACTGGAGTGTTTGGAGCACATTCCAGTATGACTGGGGCAGAGTGAGAGAGGAAGTCACAGACATTAAGATCAGAGAGAGCAAGAGGCGGGTTGTAGATGATGCAGGGCTGTGAAAGAACTGGAGTTTTATTCTGAGTGAGGGGGAGCCCCGGGAGGGTGCTGGGCAGAGGAGGTACATAATCCAAGATGGGTTTTAATTGGATTATTTTGGTTGCTGTAATGACAACAGACAGTGGGCTGAGGTCAGGAGCAGAGAGACTAGCAATTGTATTGTCTGGACCAGGGTGGTTGCCATTGAGAAAAGGGGCCAAGTTTGGGATATGTCAAAGGTGAGGCCAACAGGGCTTTCCAGATAGGTCAGCTACAGAATAGGGAAGAGCAAAGAGTAAAGGGTGACTCCCAGATTTTGGCCTGAGCTTAGAATCTGGATGACTCCTCTTCTAGGAAGCCCTGGGAACTCACAGCTCCTGGTGGGGCCTTGCCCTTATGGGGCCTGTCATGGCCTGTCTCCCTCTGGCCTGGGTGCTCCCCAGGGCAGTGTAGGACTTGCTTACTGTCCTGCTTTTAGAGTGTTTGATAAGTGAGTGAGAGGCAGAGGCAGGCTGAGCTGGGGTTAGTCC